CCGAGCCGCCTCGCTTAGGACAATACATGAGGGAGTGGCGGCAACCACGGGCCTCTTCCTTTCATTGAGTGTTGGCATCATCTTCGCCTTTCGGGTGTATTTAAAGATGTGCTTGCACGTTCTTTCGATTTCAAGGTCAAGAGTTTCAAGGTTCTTAGACCCTTGACTTCTTAAGAGCATACAAACACAATGAATTTTCTGAAAAACTTAACAACAAGAACAAGTGAAATGAAAAGTGTGTATGGTTTTGTTTGATTGACTTTATAACAACAAGACGTATTTCCCCGGCAACGGCGCCAAAAACTTGATCGGGCTGAACTTGCAAGTATACAAGTGCCGATGTAGTAATAAAATACCGGTAAATACCGGGTCGATCCACAGGGAAATCGTTGATATTATAAAGTCGAGTATTGAATGCAAAGAATGTAAATGATATATTTTTTTTCAGGAACTTTGCTTTTTGAGATTGGTTTAAACAAGAATGAGAATTACTAAGGCAATCGGGGTTCACCTAAATGCTTTAATATTTGTTTAATAATAGTTCTTCCCCAATAATCATGAATACGATGTCGCTAATATATTCTCAACTCCGGTTAAGGCAGCGAGAGCGTGGTTTTCGTTATGTGTAAGTCCCGTTACGGCTTACATTCATCTACCGAAAACCCCGTTGAATATCAAGACATCACACCCGTATCATATAAGACCGAATATATTTCTATTCTCGGTACTATATATGTTTATCCTTTAATGTTCATAGTTTAGACTTCAACGTTAATTGCAAGCATAAACTAAATTTAACATACTTCTATGTTGTACACCATAGTCATAAACAATCAAAATATAAAGGATAAATCACAATTTATTGGTTTAGAACTTTTATCAAACACCTAGTGTGCATAGAGGTTCATCCCTAGCCTTAGCTAAGAAATTAGCCTCTAATGCTCATATTAATCAACAAACAATATTGAAATGTAATAGAACATGAAATTACAAAGGAAATAATACCTAAACACCAATGATTTCGGAGGTTGAAGTTTCCTCCTCAAGAACTTGAAGAAAATACCAAGAACAAAAATATAAAAGCTAGGAATTAATCTATGGAAATGGAATGTTATTGCTTGATGAATTAAGGGCTTTATATAGGCTAAAGAATGGCATCTTTTAGTCTATTCAAGCCTAACAATCGGGTATGGAAGCAATATTTGATCAGATATGGAGGAAGATGGGTTTTTCCCATCAGAAATCTTCTGCACGTCGGACTGTTTTAGCAGAAAATCGGAACAACCGGCGCCGGTTATAGCATGTCCGGCGCCGGTTGGGTGCAAAAATGCACCGGTTGTGCTGCGCCGGTTGGAAACAGGCCCGAATTGGGCAAAAAGTCCTGACGACCGGCGCCGGTCATGGGGCATCCGGCGCCGGTCCCTGCGCCCAAATTTGTACTTCGCTTCTTTTCTTCGTTTGATGCCCGAAATTGATCCCGAAGTGCCGGTTTCGATCCCTTTTGATTTTTGACCCTATTTTCATTGCTCCATGTCGTATTTCATGTTTCCGCTAACTCAAGAATATTTATCTGTTTTTGCTTCACATTTTTGTACAGATAAATGTAATTACTTATGTAAAACATAAGTAATTATTGTGCTTATCAATATCCCACAATTTTCCCCAACCATCCCAATCACTATTCTGCTCGCCCATCAATAACCGGTAGCCGCTTTTAACAGAATAAATGCCATTGCGTTCACCCGTCCACCAATAATTGTCCTTCCTATCAAAAAAACTAATAGGAATATCTAAAATTCTGTGCTTATCCTCCTGATTGAACCAATTATTAATTCTGTCTAAATTCCACTCTCTACCAGTATGGTCTCGCAAAGCTGCCACATTCATGTCTCGAATGAAGTCCGGTCTGTTCGACGTGATTCGCCCAAGCGTTCCAGGTAACCACGAGTCTGCCCAAACCTGTGTGTCAATACCATTCCCAACCCTTCGTCTAGTATTAGTTTTTAGCAATTCCTGTGTCTCAAAAATACTCCTCCAAATAAATGAGGGATTACTTCCCAATTTAGCATGAAAAAATCGGAAGATGGGAAGTATTTAGCTTTTAAAACCCGAGCCATAAGGGTATTTTCTTCGGTGACAAGACGCCATCCTTGTTTTGCCAGCATGGCCAAATTAAATTCTCGAATCCTTCGAAAACCCAAACCCCCGGCTTCCTTGGGTTTACATAGACACTCCCATCGGCGCCACCTCAGTCCCTTCTGGTCAAACTTTGATCCCTTCCACCAGAAACCATTCATCAATTTTTCTACCTCATCACATAACTCCTTTGGTAATAGAAAAACATTCATGGCGTAATTTGGCAGGGATTGAATCACATTACGCAGCAACACTGCCCTTCCAGCTCGGGAAAGAAATCGATTATTCCAAGATTTTATTCTAGCCACAATTCTGTCTTTCAAGTATCCTAGAATAACCGACTTGTTTTTCCCCACTAAGGCCGGTAAACCCAAATAAAGGTTTGGCCCTCCAACTCTCGGCACACCAAAAAAAGTACCACAATACTCTCTAAATTGCTCTCCCACATTCTGACTAAAACTCAAGGAAGATTTATTAAAATTAACCAACTGACCCGAGAGCGATGCATACCTGTTCAAAATATCTTGGACCACCGTACACTCCGTTCTATCAGCTTTAAAGAAGAGAAAACTATCATCAGCAAAAAGTAAATGAGTAATTCGAGGAGCCCCCCGACAAACTGCCACACCATGGAGCTCTCCTCTACTCTCGGCCCTGCGGATTAATGCACTGAGACCCTCGGCAACCAAGATAAATAAGTATGGAGAAAGGGGATCTCCCTGCCTTATCCCGCGACCAGGAACAATTGGACCCAAATATTCATAATCAAATTGAACATAGTACTGAACTGTAGAAACACATTGCATAATCAGATCTACCCATCTCGGATGGAAACCCATCTTCTGCACGAGAGTTTGTAAAAACGCCCAACTAACTCGATCATAAGCTTTACTCATATCAAGCTTGAGGGCAACATAGGCATCTCTGCCCGTGGTCTTCCGCTTCAAATAATGCTGGGTCTCGAAAGCTACCATAATATTATCCACTATAGACCGGCCTCGAATAAATGCACTTTGACACTCATCAATCAAACCTCCCAAAAAGACTTTCATACGATTGGCTAAAACCTTTGAAAAGATTTTATAAACTACATTACATAAAGCAATTGGTCTCCAGTCTCCCATCCCCTCGGGTTTATCTTTTTTGGGAATCAACACAATATTAGTCACATTCAATTCACTTGGCACAACTCCACTGTCAAAAATATCTGAACATAACTTAACAACTTCAGGCCCCACTATATCCCAAAACTTCTGAAAAAAGCAGGGTTCATACCATCCGCTCCTGGAGCTTTATCCGGGTGCATATAAAATATAGCTTCCTTTACCTCCTCCGGATTAATAGGCCGAAGAAGCACCGTATTCTGTTCGGCCGAGACTTCTTTGAAAACTCCATAATCCTCCCACTGGGAATTTTCTTCTTGTGCATGAAAAATCTCTGTAAAATACTGGCTAATCACCTCCTCCATCTGACCTCGGTCCGTTAGCCACTCTCCCGCTGTCGACTTGAGACCCTGTATTTTATTTCTCCTCCGCCTTTGTTTAACTGAATTATGGAAGAATCTTGAATTCAGATCACCTTCTTTTAACCAGAATTCCTTAGCCCTCTGCCTCCAATATAAATTTTCTTTCTCCATAAGCAGATAGATTACTGACCGAAGCTTGACAAATTCCACCACACTGTCCACATCTTCTTTACCTCGAAGCCACGCAAGTCGTTTTTTGCAAGCAACAATTCAGTTTCTGAAACCCTTGGGTCTACACCTATCCCATCTTAGTAGTTCCCTTCCGCAAAAAGTAATCTTCTCATTAACAGATAAGTGTTCCCCCGCGTTCCAACTATTAGTAACAATAGTTCGACATTCCTCTTCTTTAAGCCAAACATTCTCAAACTTGAACTTCCTCTTCCTTCTTTGATGGATAGTGGGTTTTATTTGTATCCACAGAGCCATATGATCACTGACTGGTGCCTCCAAAGAAAAAGCCTTGGCTTCCATGTAGTTGTTCCACCAATCATCATTTACAAGGATGCGGTCTAATTTTGCTTCTACCCAGTACTCCGTATTCTTGCCCCTATCCCAGGTCCACTGGTAGCCTTCGAAAGGGAAATCACGAAGACCGCTACTCAAGACTGCCTCGCGAAACCCTCTCAGCCGCCACAAAGGCTGTTGCACCGACCCCTTCTTTTCTGACTCATACAAAATGTCATTAAAGTCACCAATTATCATCCATGGACCAGAATTATTTTCAGCCAATCCCCCTAGCATCTGCCATGCTTCGCGTCGCCTACCAATGTCAAAAAAGCATAGTAGCATGTCAATCTCCATTCGTTTTCCTCTTCTTGCATGCGGACGGAACAATCAAAATACTAGGAGTTGGTTGTCCGGATCGAAACTATTATGTCATCATTCCATCCCATCGCGATTCCGCCGCTCGCCCCAACACTATCCACCGACATAGCCTGATTAAAGCCCTGCCGCCGTAGTATCTCCTTCGCCCTTGCTCCTTCCATTTTTGTTTCCATGAGGAAAAGTAAAGACAGTCTATTCGACTGTACCAGGTCTGTAATACACTGAACCGTGGCGAGATTCCCTAAACCCCGACAGTTCCAACTCATAATACTCATATCTAAATCGTGAAAAACCCTCGAAAAGCGAGGGAGATGAAGTGCCGGACACGACCGCCGCAGATGGCGGTGCCGGAGGCAACCCTAGGACGGCCTAGGAATTCACTCGTATTGTTTTTCAACACTATTTATCATCGGTTACTTGATAATCTATATTTTCATTTATTGATAATCTATATTTTCATTTATTAAGTGTTTCCGATTGCGTTTTCACACCTAAACACCTACACTTGGATTATCAAGCCTTAAACACTCCATCCAAACGGGGTGTTAGTATCTGCCGAGAGTTTAAGCTTTGTACTACGTATATTTTTGAGGGGTGGCCAAACCAAACTCTGTGTGTATTCTCCGAAATTAAACGACCTACCGCAAGCATTACAACTCAAAACCCTAGATGTCCACGGAAGAGAAGCCATATATGGATTTTTCAAAATCACGATTTGTTCATCGCTCTTCCCGGCCATATATGGATCCTTCACAAAGACGATTTGTTCCTACCTTTTCCGTTCGGTATTTTTTGATTCACCCTTTCTCTACTGTCTTCTTTTTCCTAAATGGGTTCGATTGTTTTCTGCAATCATACTTTTGCATCTTATTCTTCTCCTTCTTAACTCATCATATATTTAAATTTGTATCATATTTATTTATTCAGAGGTCGTTTTTCTTATCTAGAAGTTTTAGGGTTGTTTCAAGTATGTAGTTTCGAATGATAAATAGTAGTAATATAAATCTAAAAGAATATTTTTTTGAAAAGAAAACCTTAATATGAAACCAAGGGAGTACTGTCCTTTTAACCTTTTGATATATTGTGTTCGTTCAATGATTCTAAGACATAAAATCAGAGCTCTTGATGAATTAGTTTCGCAGTTTTTAGTTTGGTGTTTTGTATGGTTATAGAGTGGTCTACGCTGACCGCCTTATTGATTCCATTCTTGATGAGTAAGTCTTATGGAATTAGTTTTTATATCATCTTAATGAATTCAGGAGTATTACATGTTTGTTTGGTCCCAGTTAGATTAATTGGTGAACAGACAGCCAAACATTTTTTTTTGGGTTTTATATGTACGTGTGTATGTCTAGTCATATACTTCTACACATACAAACCAAGTAGCACTGGGACTGAAAATGAAACTGAAAAGGAAGCAGAAGTAGAGCTGAGGGCTGAGAAACTCTATTCTCAAAATATCAAGATTAAAAGTATATGAGGGCATGCTTATGTGGGTACAGGCCGTACGGCACAGAAACATCGAAATAAAAATTAAAAACAAATAACCATTTTATGAAGTCATGTTTATGTCCAAAAAGTCAAAAAAAAAAAAACCAAAGTGCCGATACCAGTCACCACCCAGGAAGTGCGGACTCTGCGGCTGCAGTTAAATCTGGACTGGAGACTGCCAAAGTGCCGATACCAGCCTCCTCGTTCACGTCTGGCCGTTTGCTGCAAGTCCCATAGACCCATACTCCCGGTCGGAGTCCGACTGGTTTGTAATTGCGCAATGCCATACCGCCTTGAGGCGCGCCTCACCATTTTCCTGGAGTATGGCGTAAGATTGCATTGCTTATTGCGAAAGTTGTTATGGCGCACGAGTTATCGCGTAAGGCGTACTCAATTCTATCCACGCCTTAAGGCGGTCTGAGGTGTACAATATATGTGGTCATCTGTAAAGCGTATTTTGGGCCCGCTGGACTTATTTTTTACTAATAATTTAATAAACCTATCGAGGCGTACACAATATGCCGGCAGCAAATTAGTTACTTACTTTCTTCCGCCTTCTTCATCTATCGCGAATGGCCTGGCAGCGATTCAGTCTCTTCTACGGAACTCAGTTCTTCCTCTGCCTTCCTCTTCTAGTCTTCTCGAGGCAACTAAGGTGGTTTCAGGCATCTCAATGCAACTAAGGTTTCTTTAGTTTTTAGTATTTTACTAAAGATATAGTATCGCTAATATTATATATATTCCCTCTATTGGCTCTAAATTTAATCTTGACTAATGATATCATTGCACGTTTTTAATGCATCAAAGATTTTATTTTAGCTTACTGCACATATGATCTTATTTTCTTTTAATTTTATGTGAATACTAATTTTCTTTTCTTCAACCTTTTATTCTGTTTATATTTATGCACACACACACACATTTTTATGCCTCAGACATACGCCTCATTGCGCAATGAGGCTTACGCAATATGCATTCCTAAAAAAACGTCACGACTACGCAATACGCAATTTCAAACCTTGAGTCGGACTAGGTCTTCCTTCGCCAAAGAAGTATAGTCTATGTTGTATTCCCATATCTCTGATTCTCTTCTATAGTTACATGTCTATGTACATACCATGTCCAGTACATGGAGTAAAACTAATGTCAAAGAAAGTTAATGCAAGAACAGCTCAAAAAAATGGCAGCTAATTTTGCCCCAGTCAATTATAGTAATTGAATCAATATTTATGTTCTTGGGTTTCTGACTTAATTTATTTTAGAACAACGAAGTAGCAGAAGATATAGTCCGTAATCTATTACTATATAATTGGAATAGTGTTCCCGCCTAAAGTGTGTTAAGGTTAGGGCGCACACACACACAAACCTGAAAACGAGAAAAGAACGAGAAGAAACGAAACACAGAAATTAACGTGGTTCAGCCAGTAAGTGTTACTGACCTAATCCACGGGGGCAACTAAGGTTTTCTTCTTTATTGAGATGATGAATGATACAGATGATAGTTTTACAAGTACAGGAGTCAATATATAGGCAAACAATTAGGGTAAAGCACTTAAATAAGGTTTTGGGCCTGACTGCCATCAAAGAAATAGGCCCAACTAGGGCTGCCTGCACATTTAACTAGAGCAGGCTGCTGCTCTTTGTTTAAATGACTCCCAGGTCTGAGTGGGCCGAAGCCTACCGCCCAACAATCTCCCACTTGGAGGCTTCGAAACACGATCAACTGCACTCCATTCCTTTGTACTTCTGTAAACTTCATCTGTGTTTAGCTTCTCCTAGTTGCCACCTGCCTTCTCAACATTATTCTTGAAGGCCAGCTGAAGTTACATAGATTTAGTGAACATATCTGCTGAATTCTTTGCACCTGAGATATTCTTCAAGTTCATCGTTCCTTCACTGATCAACCCTCTAACAAAGTGATATATCATCCCAATGTGCTTCGTTTTCCCATGATACACTGGATTATTGGCAAGTTTCACTGCACTCTCATTATCACAGTGTAATGAGTAATGTAATCTGCTTGCTTTTTGTCTAACTCTTCAAGAAAGTTTCTCAACCAAACCAGCTCTTTACTGGCTTTAGCAACTGCCATGTACTCTGCTTCGGTTGTTGAGAGAGCTACACTTTTCTGAAGTTTGGACATCTAACTAACTGCGATTCCTCCCACTGTGAAAATGTACCCCGTAGTGCTTTTGAACGTCTCTTTGCATCCACCCAAATCAGCATCAGAATACCCTCTTAAAATTACGTCTTTACCTCGGAAACATAACCCCATCTTTGTAGTACCCTTCAAATACCTAAGTATCCATTTGGCTGCTTCCCAATGTTCTCTCCCCGGTTTTGACATGAAGCGACTAACAACTCCGACTGCATAAGCTATATCTGGTCTCGTGCACACCATAGCATACATGAGGCTACCAACTGCAGATGCAAAAGGAACTTTAGTCATTTCTGTGTTCTCTTCGTTTGTTCTCGGAGATTGGTCTTTGGTAAGCTTGAAGTGACTTCCCAAAGGCGTGTTTCTCGGTTTAGTCTTCTCACCATTCATATTGAATTTCTCCAACACTTTCCCAATGTACTTCTCCTGGGATAGTGTTAAAGAACCATTCTCCTTGTTTCGGACTATGCTCATTCCGAGTATTTGTTTGGCTGGACCCAAATCTTTCATTTCAAATTCTTGAGACATTTGCTTCTTTAACCTGCTGATCTCTTTCATATCTGCACCAGCTATCAACATATCATCTACATAGAGAAGTAGAATGATATATGAACTCTTGAACCTCTTTACGTAGCAGCAATGATCCATCTCACATCTTCTGTACCCTGTCCTTATCATGAAGTTATCAAACTTCAAATACCACTGTCTCGGAGCTTGTTTCAGACCATATAAGCTCCGTTTTAGTTTGCAGACCAGATTTTCAATACCAGCAACCTGAAATCTTTGAGGCTGTGCCATATAGATATCCTTATCAAGGTCACCATGTAAAAATGCTGTCTTAACATCTAGTTGCTCTAGATGTAAGCCCTCTGCAGCTACAATGCTTAGAACCAATCTGATGGTGGTCATTCTAACCACTGGGGAAAATATCTCATTATAATCCACTCCCTTTTTCTGCTGAAAACCTTTGACCACTAAACGGGCTTTGTACCGTTTAGACCCATCAGGCTCATCCTTGATTCTGAATACCCATTTATTTTGAAGTGCCTTCTTGCTTGGCGGAAGCTTTGTAAGAACCCATGTCTTGTTCTTGTGCAAGGCACCCATTTCTTCCTTCATAGCCTGCTCCCACTGAAACGAATCATTCTGCTTTACTGCTTCAAGATAACTTTCTTGTTCTCCGTTTTCAGTCAAAAGAAGGTAATTGACTGACGGATTGAATCTTTCTGGAGGTTTAGTGACTCTAGTGGATCTCCTAACCCACTGTGTTTCAACTAGCTGTGGCTGCATGGGTGAAGCTGCAGATTCATCTTCTGAATTGTCACTATCAACAGAATCTCGTTGATTATCCTCAAGCTCGACAGTACTGGAATCATTCTCCATGCTCCCACTGCCTTGAGTATCTTCAGACTCTCTGTTTCTGATAACTTCATTTTCAAACTCAATTTGCTCTTTCTGAATCTTTGAGTTTGACGTGCTTCTGTCTTTATAAAGTTCAGCCTCGTTGAATGTAGCATGCTTACTTCTGATTACCTTTCTGCTTTCACAGTCCCAAAGCCGGTAACCCATGCTGTCTCCCCCGTATCCAATGGAAGTGTGTTTCTTGGCTTTAGCATCTAACTTGTCACCATCTTTCATAAGATCATAAGCGCTGCAACCAAATATCTTTAAATGCCCATACCTGACAGCTTCTCCTTTCCATTCTTCCTCCGGTATCTTGAAACCTAATGGTACTGATGGCCCCCGGTTGATAAGATAAGCAGCAGTATTCACTGCATCAGCCCAGAACGTCTTTAGAAGCCCAGCATTGAGTCTCATACTCCTGGCCCTCTCATTCAAAGTTCTGTTCATCCTTTCTGCCACTCCGTTCTCTTGAGGAGTGCCTGGAACGGTCTTTATCATCCGAATGCCATGTTCAGCACAATAATCAATAAACTCTGTGCTAATGTATTCACCGCCATTGTCCGATTTCAAGCACTTTACCTTCAAATTAGTTTCCAATTCCACAACAGTTTTCCACTTCTTAAAAATATTGAAAACTTCAAACTTATTTTTAAGAAAGTAGACCCATACCTTGCGTGTTGAGTCGTCAATGAAGGTCACATAGTAGCTTGATCCTCCCAGGGAAGAGGCTGG